ATTATTCCTTAATTCGAAGAAATCTGTGATACGAATGGGGAATCTGATTGTAGAAGAAAATGAATGCGGCTGCTGTCGCAGCGGCGGTACCGCTACTGTCATCGGTGTACGGAGCAGCTGCAAATGGAAAACCTGTTGTGGAAGATTTGGCCGCGCACTCGGATACCACGACAAACTCATCATGTTCCTCAAGGTTCGCTGCTCTCTCACTGAGTTTTTAAAAGTATTCGTGTCGAAAGTGCTTTTGCCGCAGATCTTCGAGGCCTAAAATTCGTCTAGGACCGGTAGTGGTCGGTGATTTTGCATTTATTGGGCTTGTAAATCCTCTGATGACATTACAGATAGTTCGGGTAGCGTTTTCTTTATTTGGCCGCAATAGCAATCTTGTGCCGAAAACAGACTTTTTTGCAATTCTCTTTTGTTTGTTATTGATAGTGCTGTGGTAACTGTGATGGAAATGCATCAGTTTTAAGAAAAAAAGGAGCGTGGAGGGAAGGATCCGGCAAGGTCGAGCAAAGTTCACGTTATTGGAACATTAATTGAATTAAAGGCGATCGCCTGCGTTACACCAGAAGTAATACACGGATGAAATTTTCAGTTTTGGGTATTATTTGCAAACTTCGAAGCATACTTACCTTAATTTCCTTGCAAAAACTTTTTCGAATTTGAGCAATTTTAGCCCGCAGAAGGCGTCACCGAGCATTGTGCGTTGCCGAGTGCAATCACCAGTTCAGTTGTCAGAGGCGGATCATCTCTCAGGTGGTTCAGATTCCCCGGATACGACCAATCCGAAGGGTTGCGAGCAATGTGAAACACATAAACAGCGGGTTTTCGAACTGGAACAGACACTGGAAGCGAAACGGATTGAACTGAAAAACACTCGTGAACTGATGCGCAGAATTGGAGTGATCGCCGGCTCACTTCTTGAATCGTGCACTGATTTTGACAAACAGTGGGTTTCACACAGTCGTAAAGTTTACTCACAAATACAATCCGTCATATGTAACATGGAATAATTCAACGGTCCTACAGTTCAGTGCCGACATTCCTTTCCGAGTGCAAGAAGAAAGCGCCTTATTTTGTTCGCAACTCAATGCCCACAGCTTTCCCATGCACTGGTCAAGAAGAGGGACTAGACTAGGCT